AGGAACGGGAAGGATTCTGCCTATCCCCAACCGTCTCTAGCTGCACCGGAACCAACGGACATTGTCGCGGAGACAAGTAATCCTACCCCCACGTCCGAGGCAGAGGACCGTGAGAAAAAGAAGAAGAAGAAGGCATCCGCTACCAAACCCACCACCCAATCACCGCGTGTGTTCCAAATCATTAATACCCACCGTCCAAGTGTCCGCCGCCAAAACTCATATCGCAAACAGCAGCATACCACAACCATCGCCCACAACATATACTCTACTATCACCAACAACAACGACCCTCCACCCACAGTTTCAAACAGAAGACGTACCGCCACCGTTAGCCACCCACCGCAGCCGCTACAAACACCTTAACCGCAGATGTATGATATAATAGTAAATAAATTAAAAAAATAAAATAAAATTCATCTAGATCGTGTGACAGGGTTGATTGTGAATAGTCAATTGAGCGAGCCGCTGGCGGCTAAAATTCGGCTCATCTTAAACCAAGGCTGTGATAAACAAACAAACAATACTACCAGCAGTACAACGCAAGAAATCGAGTGGTCTCCCTCCATCCGTTGGGAGTAACAATCGACAGGAAGCTGTCATTCAACAAACATGCGGAAGAACTAATTGTTAAAGCCCAGGGAAAAATAACTCTATTCACTTCTCTTACAAGATAGGCCAAGCTGGCCATCTACAAGACGTGCGTCTGAACAATCATGACGTACCTCTGCATGCTGGAAGACGTACGTCGGCAAAATCAACGGCCAAAGGTTGGAAGCGGTGGAGTCCATCACCGAACTATCAACAGGAACGTAAGGAACGAAGATATCCGGCAGGTTCTGAAAACACCTACCTTATCCGACGTTCCAAGAGCAAACGCACACCCTCCTAACCATTTTAGCATATTACCTACTGTATTTTAGAATCTGAATGACCATAGTCATTGGTCAAAAAAATGGAAGCGCTTTTATTACTGAAGATGTGTTTTAGTTGTCCTACCATTGGTCCGGGTTTAGGTTTTGCAAAAGCAAGAGCGTTCGAATTGATCATTTGATCGTAATTTTTAAAAAGGAACAAGGTTCATCATATCTCTGTTGAAACGAACTCATGTTCGAATTGGGTACACGTTTTCGAGTCCTCACAAAACTTGTCTAGGAAACGAAGCTCCTTTGAAGAAGGACGTTTCATAGCGGGTTTGTAGATTTTGATAGTGCGTTGTGGCTAAATTGCGTTTATTAGTAGTGGAATTTTTCCACATTAGATGGAGATAATATGACCGCTGATATCGACAAAATGTACAGACAAATCAGAGTACGAGAAGAAGATCAACTGTACCAGACAATTCTCAGGCGCTATTCACCACGCGAGCCTATCAAGGAGTGCCGACTAACCACAGTCACAGTCATATATGGCACAACTTCCGTACCATACTTGGCGGTAAGCCCTGCAACAGTTGGAAAAAGATGAGACTGAGGAGTTCCCAGAAGCGGCAAAAATTGTAAAACGAGGCTTCTATATGGACGACTCAATCACAGTAGCGTTCCACAAAGAAGCTGCGAAGTGCCTTCAACAGCAGTTGATCGAGTTGCTGGAACGCGGAGGGTTCAAACCAGAGAAGTGGAAAAGCAATTGCGAGGAACTCATTTTCACCCTTCCCGACGAGCTACAGGAAAATGGGTTTATGGATCTTGGACCAAAGGACACAAAGAAGACTCTGGGCGTACAAGGGGCACCGATCCAAGATGTCTTTTGCTTCAAAGCAGACCTACTCCCGAAGAACACACCTACCAAGCGAAGGGTCCTATCCCAGATCACAAGGTTATATGACCCCCTAGGCTGGCTAGCTCCCATGGTAATCCGGCTCGAAGGGACAAATATGGCGTTAGGGTCGTAAATCCTAGCGCTCCCAAGCGAATCTTACACAAGGTAAAATATCGGTCGGGGATGATCTTGAATCTCGACAACTCTGCCACTTCACAGAAAAGTTGAATCATGGACTGGAGCAGATCCGGGAACTGGATGCGTGGTACCGACAGACAGACGAGAACAAGATCAACATGCACTATCTGCCATCAATTAAGAAAGATGGATTTCCACTACGATAAGGGGCAAGTCAGACTAGTCACCCTATTCAATTATAAACGTCACGCCTCCAAGTCACATTCGGAGTAACCTGTTTGCCGCGCCAGCAATAGATAGCAGCCTACTGGCCATCGACTACAACAACCAGCACTATGGGGAATTAACTCCGTCAGACCTACATCATGCGATAATGGTAGGGAACAACGGACGGCTGATAGCTCCAAGTGTGGTCTACGATATCAACGCAACTCTCAGTTGTGTCATCGACCAAGACTACAACCGCGGATCCAAGAAGAATTGCAGCCACCACACGTTTACCGTGGATCATATTCTGTGGAAAAAACTATACATACCCAATACTTGGATATTTGTTAGCAGCCATAATAGCATAATTAGTTTAGACTGCCACGGACTGCGCCAGGATATTTGGTTGAACCAAACGGGCATCTTACAAGTCACCCAGACCTGCATTATTGACGACGATCGGAAGCTACTTAAGACGTATACCATCAATACCATCTCGAAGGTGGTAGCCTATCATAAACCCATGGAGATAGATCTGGATACCGTACAGCCACGAGTGCACAAATCCCATCTGGACAGTGAACCCATGTTTAAGGCGGATGAAAACTTCAGAGAGATTCTACATAACGGGACAGTATGACTGTAACGTTTCGTATTAAGCAGTTACAGGTTTATTTAAATACTGCAAAAGCATAATACTAGAGGTCAGTATAGGGACATAAATTCAATTTTTCAAAATTACCTTTTATCTAACATTCTTGACCTAGGGGTCAAGAGAAGAGACATATTGAAATAGGGCGAGCCTGGTGGCCAGTTTTTGAGCTGGATATTGTTTTAAATTTGCTTTATACTCTATAGCTATACCACTGGCCGCCTTTCGATTCTCTTTTATCCTGAAATAATAAATGATTACAATTGGAATAATTAATGCGGTGATAATACTTCCAACTAACGAGCCCAATCTGGTAGCGTCTAGTGGAGAAACCCCGGCTTGAACCGCCTCATTGGACAGCTGTACTTCAGATTATTTTTAATTACCGATCCTGTCGTGAAGCATGTCGGCGACATTTTCAAACCAGCATTAAGCTCTTTGGGCAAGGCGATCACCTTTTCAACCTAAAACCAAAGTACTCTTTAGCCAGACTCGAGGTGACCGTTTGTACTTACCAGTTTAGTAATCCGTAGCTGCACAGCTGCAACTGTAATCATCGTTCAACGTTTAAAATCAATCTAACTCAAATTGCGTTGCACTTCATGCCCGTAGTATTTTTTACTTGTTAATTTATAGTTTGCATTGTAACTACTTAAGGTTTATTAGCACTACCAACACCGTAATTTGTTATATACCGGTTAGGTGCTGAGCGATTTGAAGAGAGTGTCTGATAATCAGCTTAAAAACAAAAGGGAACTACGCAAGTACTTACCGCTATTTTAACGTCATAGAGCATAATGTAACATACCTAAGATCGCTACCCCGATAAGGCCTTATTGCCGTTAGCCATCTATTTTTGATTGTCGGAACGTCAGCCTGCAAATCTCTTGCGCAAGATTTGTTTCTCAAAACTATAACTTTGCGAAGTTGTTACCGTATAAGTAGCCAATATTATTTCATCCTAAGCCGTGACGTCCCTCCTGGAATTGTAAAAAAATTTAAAGTCTGTAACTACTGCCTAAGCATAATATACCAACGGTTTAGTGTGATTGTTTAGTTTATTGCTCCAGTCGAATACCCACGACCCCTGCCTCCAGTTATTTTCGAGCTGCCCCTTAGGCAATTTGTGCCGTTGTTGTGCGAGGCAACGTAGATCACATGACCAATACCATATGGGAACAAGTGCCCCACATCTTTACGAATCAGGCATCTGATGTGCAACGACGATAGGCATAATCATCTCTATTGTTTGACGGTATGTCGCGGAAACTTTCTGTATTTAATAGCATCGCAGACATATCTGAATGTGAAGTGACATAAAACCTAAGAATATAGGGCCGTTTTCAATTTTTTTTTATACCCAAGAGCAACTACTTTTCATACTTTTCATTAGTTCTGGCCCGCAGCAAATTTTACTAAAATCAGAGTATCGGATTGTGGGCGATTCTGGTAACATTGTGCTGCCCACCGTTTTCGATTTAAAAAAATGTGGTGGATTCGAAATGTTATGCTAAAGTAGAACCCTCTACCTTTTGAATTCTTTAGGTCGGGGTATATACCTAATGTAATAAATAGGTACGTTAAATCCCTCATTTATCAATAAATAAGTATTTAAACCTAGGGCGAATCCTTTTGTAATATAATACGATGAGTTAAAGAATTCTAATATCGCAATAATGAAAAGGAGTAAGGCCCCTGCGGTTCAATCTGTTTTGGTTGCGTAAAAATGTTTATGTGTATATACGGGGTACAATGACGCACCGCAGCTTGTTTATATTTAATAATCCAATAATCGATCTTTAGGGTTTCCAAATATAATGAGTTTCGTTCCTTAATCAGCCAAGCCGACCCATAAAGTCTTTTTAAAGTGAAATTTTTGCCGTATTTTAATATAAATTTGCATGTTTTTGTTAATCCCTTTCCGTTCAAGCCTAGCGATGAGTTTTGAATAAGAGTGACGGCTGATTGTGGGCTAATTTTCAAGAGTTTTCGAAGTACGCGAAGAGGCTCCGGACACATTGCCGCGGGTCGTCGAGACACGAAAAACTGTTTTAACTCAAGTTTTAATAAGTTAAAGATTAGCTTAGGGCTGTCAGAGGTTTTTCTATTAAGATATTCCGTCTTTTCGAGATCTTACGCTGATGCATCGTATTCGCGGACAAACGTAATTTTGTCGAGATTGTTAGAATCGGAAAAAATGAAAGTGTATTTATTAGAAGGCAAACTTAGCGATGTTCTTAAGTAAATAGAAATTTCTCTATTTGCAGGTGAAGCCTTCCGACCGATATTTACAGACCCCATTGTGAACTTGACGGTTCCTGTGGGAAGAGACGCTACGTTCCAATGTCTTGTGCAGCATCTAGGGGGTTATAGGGTAAGTTCGGAGATCGTTTACATTATATCCACAATTTATAAAATAGAGAAACGCAGTCGTAAGTTCAAGGCGGTGTAATTTATTAAACGGTTTTGCGTCATCTTGTTCTGAATATTTAAAACTTTCTTCATTACGAAGCGACAATTAAACCGCAAATAAAAAAGCGCCGTTTTAGCACCGACACGGCCAGTAACTCGTCTGTTTTCGATTGTGTACATAAGTGCTCTTCAATCTACCTGTTGCTTATCGGGAAAAACTATCTGCTTTCCTTTGGAAAAAAAAGTGTATGAAGCACTTGTCGTGATACACATGTGCTTGGATAAATTTATACGGTAATTCTATGACGAAATAATAAAATTTGCGAACAGTTTGAAAAGTAATAACCATTCTCTCTGGGAATTAATGTAACGATATTCAGGGATAACATCGAGCACGAGCACGATTCGAAGAGGACGCATCTGCGCTCCATCAGCTGTCCAGCTTGATGAAGAGCAACGCGCGGCACGCAGCTCGACGGATGTAATAATAGTGCAGATATGACAAATGGCCGAAAAGCGCCACAAACTTGGAATCATTTATAATACACACAGCTGCGGGGCGTAGGTCGTGCTCGTGACCGAGTATACCTCTGCTGTACAGCAAAACATCGACCGTTGTAATTATCGTGTGTATGCACGTATCTACGAAAACAACATAATAGAGGATAAGTAAATTAACTACATTTTCCAGACTAAAATTTCCTCTGCCATGCCGACGCGACATATTCATTGTGCATTTTATTAAAACGATCGTTTTATGGGCCCCTACTTAATTCAGTTACAACGATATGGTATAAGTTCATTCCAAATTAACTTTGAATTCTTTTAAACAGGTAGGTTGGGTAAAGGTCGATACTAAGGCGATCCAAGCCATCCACCATAACGTTATCACACATAATCCAAGAATATCAATATCCCATAGCAATCACGCTACTTGGAACCTTCATATCCGAGGTGTTCAGGAAGAAGATGGTGGCGTTTACATGTGTCAGATTAATACCGATCCGATGAAAAGTCAGGTGAGCTTCATTAATTATCTGGTTTCATGTCGGCGTTTCCTTATAATGAGCAAGTTTACTGAATTGATAGCAGCTGTCGTGTTTACATACTGTAATATAAATTTATGAACCATCATTTCAATACGTTCCTCCTTTTTAGTAGAATTCATAGCATTGTTCAAGAAATACGAATTATCTTTTCGCAATAGCCTTATTGCATAACACAAATTGAAAATCAAAACTTTGCGTCTCGCAGGTGGTAGTTCTCAGCTCGGAAACAAAACTGTGTCCTTAACTTACCTACGCTATATGAAAAGAAAATATTCCGAGTTTATGGAAAATTGTACGTTATGTGTATAAACATACGAGCACCGGTGCCCTTTATTAGAAGCATTTTGAGTGGCGGTCATGATCCCGTCAAGCCCCAATCTATCAAAGCGTCGGAAACTAAGCAGTTACGTTGGTGTATGATTGATGTTTGTCCACGTCGTGTTTCAGATTGGGATTTTAAAAGTAGTAGTGTCTCCGGACTTTATTCATGATGAAACTTCTGGAGACGTTATTATAAACGAAGGGACCTCTGCGTATCTAAAGTGTAAGGCAAGCGGCCGTCCTGCGCCACGTATAGAATGGCGAAGAGAAGATGGCACTGAGCTTATCGTACGAAATGCAACGTCACGAACGAGAGGTAACGTATAACTTCATTTAATCCGTTAAAATTATCAAGTACTTTGTTCCTCGCCGCCGGAAGCTATTACGCCCTTGCCAATACGTAAGATTTCTTTTTCAAAATCTAACAATGCCATTATTGTGTCTCTGTAAGTATATTGCTTTGCTAAGATCAATGAATTCGCTGCTGTAGCTTGAAGCGAAACGCGATAGTATGGGAATGAGAAACTTCTGATTCCTTGTGGTCATCTAAATGCAAGGAACCGAGCTTTTAAGATGCTCGAGGCGATTCTAACACAATGTTATCGCGTGTTTTCTTAATGTGAGTTATTCCCCACGACACTATATCGCAAGCTAATTTTGACTGAATAGGATTTACTAAAGAATTTTCCGAATCAAAATTACGTATCGCGACAGATTTTTTACGCATAAAGAGAAGGGCTTTGTTGAAGGCGTCAACGTTGTGCCTGTTTATGTAACTTTTCCTTTAAGGAAGCCGTTAACGTGATGTACGGCTCTGTAAAGGTAAGAACGTGTTGGAAGCTTGGCAAATGTATCATCTATCGGCCTTTCTTTATAGCTCTTCGACCGTATACAGTAGTTCAGAAAGGTAATGATATTTTAACTTTATAGTTGTAAGGCTGAAATCTTTTATACTTCGCTCTTTCAAGTACAACGTATTGTTTCTATTTTAGAGATGCTATTAAATTTTTCAAAATTCCTTACAGCTCGAACTTACGTAGGTCACATACTGAACATGACGAAAATTTCACGTAGCGAGATGGGCGTCTATTTGTGCATAGCATCCAATGGAATACCACCCGCTATTAGTAAGAGAATTAACGTCAGTGTGACATGTAAGTCATCCTTCTGTGCCAATCGACCATAACGGATGTACTTATTTCAGTTCCTCCCGTTATTCAAGTGCCAAATCAACTCCTTGCAGCACCAGAGAGAACCGCTGTCACTTTGGAATGTAATGTGCAAGCGTACCCGAGACCAATTAACTACTGGCTCGGAACCGCAGGTGTGAACAAACATTATCTATAATAGTAGGGCGTCGCGTTTCGGTCGTAAAAATACCGCGCTATTGCAGCCTGTCACCATTTTCAACACTGCCATCCGCATTTTCAAAAAATGTGGGCTAATTACATTGTACTCCTAAAAACCCACACCAGTGACCCGTTGGGAATATATTTGACAACTCTGGTGATCTACGGGCCCAATCAACCAAAAATATTAAACGACCTCGGTGGTGCGAATACGCTGAATGCAGCTGGACTTCCCCTATGCTGTTGTACCTCCGGGATACCGCTTGCGCATTCTTCGCTGGGGTGTCGAGGTGGTCTAGTGTTTAGTTATAGCTCACTGCCTTACTTCCTGTTCCTTTCCCTTCACCCTCCTACCAACTATCTGGTCCTCACCGCTCGCGTGCCGATAGCGGAAATACTGCTCCAAAGGTCATTATTCTCCACCATTCAATTCACTATGATCCGGTAGTCAAGTGTCGTCCGTATCATCTCCCATCTCGGGCACTCGGGCACTATAACACCGCGTAACCTGCAGTTATAGTTCTCCACAGTGGATACTCCGCGATTAACTCGCGCACATACCAAAACCTATGATGGAAGGATCCCAGCTACCACCATCATTTCTTCTCCCTGTACTGTCCGGTATGTACATACAATTGATTCTTATTGAGAGAAGTCCTTACTAACTCGCTTCACGGGCGCGTCCCGTTTCAGTCCCGGGCACCAAATCTCTGCAGAGGCCATTAACATCCAGCCCAACATTAGGCATAATCATGTGCAGCTCCGCGTGGCTTCTCACGGTTTTGTCGCAGGTTATCGTTACGTGTGGTATCAAGGACATATTTTCGTCGATCCATGTTCCAAGGACCTTGTGGCAACACCACAACACGTAAACTGCGATCAGCTGGGAGACAGATAGCGAACGAGGCAACGCTGTCGTCAGCTACGATACTCACACGTTGCCAGCTGACGCTGAGGTGCTCCCCAGCAAAAATCTGGGTATAAAAAGGCACGTCGTGGCAGAAAAATGTCTTCTTTAACGAAGAACATCTCTAGGTACAGTCGCTGTACCACCGCTCATATTATGATATGGATGTCCCTCAGATCCTACTGCTGTTAATAGCGTAGATCCAAGCATCATAGCGTAGGGTCACCGCCGTCTCGTATAGTGTGAATATACCTCATTCACCTGCGCCTCCGAAGAGAGAGAGAGAGAAAAAACACACCTTAGTAACGTCCTGAAAAACCTTTTAAAACGTTCATCCCTCTGACTACCAGAACCACCTTGGCCAACAACTCCAAAACGTTTTCATAGAGAAGAAATCACCTGGTAGCTGGTATCCGTGTTAATATTAGAGGCCAAAAATCAAAACCTATTAAAAGCAATAGGCTCCAAAACCTTCATCTTCGGCTCTACAGGTATCCTCTGCCCCATCACTTTATGGTAGTCGCGGTTATCCTCCTCTTCCTAGTCATCATGGCGAGTTTGGTTTTGCTGGAGACGAGTGTCATCAGCAGCTTGCGGGTCGCCTCATCCTTATCTACCGTGCGGTCGTCGACAAATCCCACTCCCATTCCCGGTTGGTATCCTCAGTAACCCATCAAGATCCACAGAAGGGGTCCGTGAAGTGATCCTCACGGTTTGTTGCATATACGACACGGTTTATCACGGTCTTCCACAACCCCCATCAGATAATCTAGCACACTATAATCGTTAAGGCATTTTTAATGTCCAACGACGCCAGCAGACAGAGTTTTCCGGTCCTCCTGGTACCCATTATTGCCCGCCTCCACCCTATCGAGGAATAATGGATTTCTTTCTCCTGAATCTGAATTGGTTGGGGGACGTCTTCGATCCTCGTCTTCACCATCTTTTATAGAACTTTACCTACATCGTCCAAGAGGAAAATCGGCCGGTAGTTTCCTCCACCCATGGGAATCAGTGCTAGCCGGCTCTTTTTCCACTTAACCAGGTAGACTCCCGTCCCCATCACTTCTTTGACGATATTGATCCATATACCTAGACGATGGGCCGCCGCTCCCTAAGTCTCGTCCTGGTGGATTCAAAGAAATCGGTCACTATGATCTTGCCGCCACACACCATAATATATCAGGGTATCACTGAAACTCAATAGGTTCAACATGTGGCAGGAAGTCCATGGGCCCTTTCGAGATTAGGCAATCTTTAATATCTAAAAGTCTATACAGGGTGCCCACAACCTTGATCTACCTATCGCGTGCTTAATACTACTTTCTTATTTTCTACGGGAAATAAGAATGTAGTAGCCTGTTGCGTATTATGGAAATTCTGATTCTGATAAGGGATTCTTTGATAAAAAATCTCGTAGATGGTGCTCCGTCGATTTTCGACCATTTAAAGGTCAACTCAAACAGACACAGAACTGCGGGAAACGGAACGAGAGCGCGACGGATGCGGGATATGCAAGTATGCATATGAAGGCGGCGGTTGGCATGCATATTTCGCTGTACCAATATATCCCGCGCCCGTTTGAGAATTTCAGTTTTTCGGTGATATCTTAGTTATTTACAAAGATTTTTCAAAAATTTCAAATGCGTTTTTTAGTTAGAAAAAGAGGCAACTTTGCCTTCATTTAACCTACACTGATCTCTCACCGTTACGGAGATCCCAATTATGTACCACGCATTTGAACCACCCTATACAAAGAAAAATGCAGTTAAACTCAACCGCAACTCAATGAAATGTTAACTACACCTTTTCGATAACTTGGTCGCTATTTTTGTTCTATTGAATTTAAAAATAAAAAATATGCTAAATTTCCATGGTTTGAAATGCTCTAAGCATTTGCAATAAAATTGAACATGCTATTAGATATTTGTTAATGTAGATTATTCAATTGTATTGGTCCTACAACAATAACAATATAACATTAGTAATGATAATGTCCTTTGCCAATCAATTTTAATTAAATTTTTTGCGAAGTTGCTACGTAATACTTAAGAGTGGAATAATTTCGCTAAGAAAATTTATAAACCACGTCAATCGCATGGAATTTGATATTGGTTATCCTTATGTCCCGTCTCGGCCTGAATCCGGGAGTAGAAGGCGAGGGTTCTCCGTTGTATCGCATAGGCTGCAGCCCGGACGTGACGCGTTAAGAATTAGTAGGATAGAATTAAATGGCGTTTCATTAATCATGTGCAGGAAGTACAGCATACCCCCGACCCATTATCAGCGCACGACAGGCCACTCCTATATTACTGAAGTTATCGACTGTCTTTAATGCGCGTATCCTTCTAGAAAACTGACCTTTTAATATGTCGTTACAGGTGAGATGCTGCTCTCGAACGACAAACGACGAATTTATGAAACAATGGCCATGCCGTACGAGGTCCAAATGAGGTTAATTATCAACAGCTTTAACGAGGAAGACAAAGGAACGTATCAATGCGTCGCTAAGAACTCGCTGGGTGCGGTGCATAGTAACATCCGGTTATATGGTAAGTGTTTTACAAGGTATTGTCAATGAGATGATTTTACAGACTCACCAACTACTACTCCACCTAATTTAGAATATGAGGACGATGGTAGGGTAAAGAAATATGGTTTAGCTGAAAATGAACAGAAAGGGCAACTATCTAATAGCGCTTCTGAGCATGGGAGACGACCATTGTTACAAATAACATTAAGAACTCCGCGGGCCACTTACCACACCTTTTCCGAAAATCACATACCCCAGGAACGAGTACCGAGTTGCACAGCGATTATGATAGCAATCACGACAATTACATTTCCGTTACTCGTTCTCAATCTATTTTTAATATGATGACCAGTTTCTAATTCACTTTTGTGTAGGGACAATAATGTTCTTTGTTTCTTTTTCACCCCATGTTTGCTTTCCAGATCTGACTCAATATAAATAGGTGTTAAGATGTCAACTATGCAAATTTAAGCGTCAACTGAATTCATTACGGCATGTTTGTTATAAAAGAAAGCCCGTTCAATGTGTTGCCTTACCAAATAATTATACCTATTAGGTCACAGTAAACTAAATGTAAGGCTATGCTTTAGATTGTTTAGAACTAAATATCTTTATAGGTTACCTTTTATGTAAGATGTGTATCTAATGGTTGTTTGCTGCGCTCTAATCGCATAAATATAAACTAATTTGTGTTTAGTGGAACTTTTTTCTTAAATACCTACCTACCATCACGCGTGCAAGTCGACTTAAGAATGAAGGTAAGTGATGACCGAAGTAAGGATCTTGGTCCAAGAGAGGACAATATTACAGCTACTTAGACAAATGACTCCTAAATGGTCATGATATAACCCTGTTTGCGTAACATCACAGAAAATATTTGCAATTTGTAAACCGAGAAAATGCGGATCCCGCTGGGTAACTGAGAAATATGTTGCTTACACATTTTCTGCTCCATCCATCATTGAAAGAAATAAAAGAATTTTCGGAGGGTTAAGGCGCCTCGCGTCCTAAGAAATCTACAATTGGTCGGGCGGTTTTACTGGACAATGAGCCAGTCCGCGGGGCGTGCATAATGCGGCGTATATCAAGATGACATTTCCCGCCTTTCAACTCACCATATTTAATAGCTGCTCATTCATTGACGAAGAAAAGCCTCGACAATGCCGCGTGTCTTTCAATACATTAATCGTTAATCGGCAAACCTCACCGGCTGCAGCACCCCTAACAATAGAGCGCTGATCTATAAAGATGGGCCGTTCTTTACCAATTTCTCAGCTACATTTACCCCGAAATGTGTGGTGAATAGGACGTGTGGTTGCGACTGACGGTCGTGTTGGCGGCTCTCCAGTGCGATAACACCTGGAACAAGACTGTGTCCCAAATCTCATTTTCCACCAATATTTATATGACTTTTCGGCGGAAGGAGTAGGAAAGCATTTGAGAAACTATAAATCCAGAATTGACACTACGTTGTCATAAAATATCAAAAAATACGATTTCAAGTTACGCTCACGCTCACTTAATAAACGAAAATTGATTAATCGCCGAGAATTTTCCCAACTTCAGAGTGCTGTACTGTATTGATTAATTTCGTTCCTTTCGTCAGTGACACTGCATTCTAATTTAAATATATATTAATGAAATGCAAATTAGATAATTCATTTTACTTACAGATAATTACAAAAGCGAGATCTACGCAGTAAAATCTAACGTTTTAAAATAAAAAAGGAGAAAGCTACCGAATTTTGTGTCTTTCATCCAGGTCGGTATACATATTTCGCTTAGCATCGACCTGTTTTATTAACTAATTCTTATTAGCGTTCGGTACTAGCAGCGACTTCCATTGGAATCGTTGTCAGGACACAACTTACTGCATGTTGTAAAAGTCCTTACTTTAAATTGAAATTTTAAATCTACGAATCTCAATGTAATCAGAACAAAACTTGTTGCGATACTGCGTGCTTGGTTGTTGTCAGCTCGACTTTACGATTTCCATTCCTGGTATAAAAGCTATCCGTTCTGCTGTTAGTGGCAATTGGTTTCGAGATATACCCCATAGCCATAATTGGAAAGTAGATAAGGATACATACGAAATTTAACGTCAATCCACCTGATCGTCTCCACTAATGATTATCCCAAATATACGACCCTAAATTAGGGTAAGAGATTTCGCAGGCAATAATGCACTATATAGATAAGTGAATTTGTACAGAAGGCTACTTTCAAATAGTTTATTACTGTAAAGTAGATTAAGGCGGAATACGAATGCGGCGACCCGCCGCACCAAGACGCCGGGGTGTCCACACAGGTCCCCTTAATCTCGCTATAGAAAGCCTCGTTTGAGAATACAAACTCGGGAATTAACAAAAGAAAAATTGCAACTTGTATCTCAAATGAACATGAACAGCTCTGTTTTCTACTTATCCATGCATCCCGCGTTCTGCTATTCCAATCTCCAAATATACATACAAACCTCAGGCAGTAAATACAATTAGAGCTTGTTTTCAACGTTCTAATAAATTGGATTTACAAAATATATCCATGTATATCTATTATGCCATATTTAAATGTAAATATGGATCGAAGCATCATCATTTTCGCCTTGGCGGAACATATAAAAAGACGTACGCATCCATGCACACCAGACACATTAGATCGTCTTCCCAAGGGAATCATTTACTTATTTTATTGCCTTTAAATAAAATGGAAAGCTTCAACTGCACACATCCACCCCACAATTTTTTAACTTTGTTCTTCCTGAACGAGCCCACGTGTCTCGCAAACTGTCCCTGTATTGATACCTACTTCCAAATGTTTTTATTTCGCGACACTTTTGGCCAATTTTATTGGAACGTATTATTTATGCGAATGAAATTATATCTATTCATTAGCTGTTGAACTTTCAGAAGCTTTGAAACGGGACTCTTTCAAAACTTACCACGACTACCCTTATACCAAGAGTTCGGTTCTCACGAAACAGCTGCGGTATCGATTTTCGCGCTAATTTTGTGGTATAATTGTGACCTTTCGGAGCTTCAAAGGAGTTTCAAAATTCCAAAAGTAGCGCATTTTATGCTGAATATGATTTGTTAAAAAGAAAAATTCCTCTTGATTCCGGATATTTTAATATTGATTATTTGGAAGCGGCACTTCTCTATTCTCTGCAAGAAATGATTTTACTCTCTAATGTGACGTTTCGATTTTTAGACAGCATCATCAACCTTATTTTTTTTAATTTGGATATGGATTGTTTCATTTTCGAGTAGCTTTTAACTAACGTTAAGTTATTTAAAGTTAATTTTCCTAAGACAATTCACACTTCAATTCTGAAAGAAACTTCAAATGACTTGTATTGAAAGTAGTAACAAGTCAAAAAGTGAAAAATGGAAAAATCCAGTTCCGTATTTCAAAGACTAAAGTTGACATTTAAGGACCGAAACGGCCCATCCGAAATTAAAATCATTTTCTTACAGACCATGGGAAAGTGCATCTTGGTTTTCCATATAATCAATAATAAAGTCCAAAAAATTCAAATCGAGAATTCTTTGGGTTTTTTTTCTGATACCTCCGGGAGTAACAGGAATCCTAATTTCTTCTTAGCAAATTGTCTCTATTTAATCAACTCTCTATCTTTTATACCTACCAAGCTATACTAGTGCATGGAATGTGTAGCGCCCTGTATAATCGCAGAAAATTTTACCAGATGCTGATCGATTATTAGAGATGAGATAGTTTATGGTAAGGTGAGTATCTTCTGCAGGTATTCCCCCTACCCGTCTGTTTATTACCAGTGGTCTAACCCAATAAAGTGTGTGTGACAATAACAGCTTACAGCAGCCAATCAAGAGCATGTATCGATTCTTAAGGGAGTTTCCGGCACATTTAAATCCATTTTCATTTTTCGTTGGTCCAGCGAAGAAATATATGTCAGTCGTAGTGCCTCCCGAATTACAATAAATAAACGGGTTGTGGGGTTTGTGAATTGATAAAGCAGTTTCTATTTAAAAACAAAACACATTCGTGAAGTTAGAAGCCTCAAATATACCTTTGTCGAATCCTCTCATGAAAAAGCGTAAAAACGAAAAATCGAAGTATCCAAACAAAATCCGCAAAAGTTTCACATTGGACTTCCCAAAATTACATGCAACACACTGTATATTTACAAAGTGTCTAGCAAAATAAAAGGAAGGGTTTTTTCACGTACATAAAAATTTTTATCCTACTTGCAAAGACGCTTCTGCCATTCGGATATTTGTATTTATAAGCATAAAACAAATCAAATTGAACCATATGAGCCATAGTCATAAAGGAGTTCCAATTTCACGATCCACTTGAAGGAAATTAAGCAAGTGATGTATCTCAGGTAAGTTTTCTACGTAGCTTGGTCAGGAAGATTGTGTCGACAATCGCCCCCTTAAGAACTAGAAAAATAGCGACCGCTCCCTAGTCGTTTTATAATGGTTCTAGTTACTTTATATTGACTCTTCGGCACACTAACGCACGCTGTTAGCTCGTTCAATATAAGTCCTCTAAACTGCAAATCCTAACGAACCATTAAAGCCTTATTACTTATATCAAATAATAAAATTTATTTTTTTCATTTGCCAAAGAAAGAGAAAGCAAAACCCTTTCCAGTGATGTGTCCATGTGTGATGACCCATGTTGTCATTAAAAACATTCAAGATGGCGGCCGCCCTCAAAATTGGGTAATGAAAAATTTCTTTTTCATTCGGATACATTTTCCCTCTTTTTTTTGGGCCCTCAACGGCTTGTGCCCAATTACAGCGTGACCCGCATAATTCCTACATAATAAATAACTATACATACCAATGTCCCATTGAGGCCCCGCCAAACTTGAAATCAATACCTCGAACCGTTTCAGTAGGAAAGCCTTATCTCATTACTTTCTAACCACCCTATATAAACATGCTACACTTATTCGAATGAATTTAAGTACGTATATACCCATTTTGGTAATACTAATTTAATCAATATGTCAGTTAGAGGCAAAAAGAAGGGGGGGGGCCTTATACATTAGTTGATCACACGTACTCATGCACTCACGTAAGGGGAGACAAAAAGATTGCTCCCCAAAAGTTTTTCCTATTGAGAATTTGCAGCAGAATTGATACTCTTTCCTACTTCAAGCTAAATTGGGTGTACCTAAATATGATATAAAGGAAAAACTTAACAAACGTTAACACCCTGTAAACCTATGTTATGAACTTTTAATCATAAAAGAATTGGCCCCTCCGCACTTACATTATACTTAGTAACAACCCCTCAGAGTCCGACACCAATTAAGTGTGGAGTGGCAAGTCCCTAGGGGTCCCACTAACCTGAGTACTCGTGCCGATTAAGTTTCCTTTGTCACGAGTCGAGTTCGATTTCTTCAAACTCTATTATTGTATCGACAAATGGAAGTCGGCCCTTCACCAGAAAAGCCTGGAAGTTAACCAAGTGTCGACCAGTACGCCTCAGGATTCAAACGTACGGGAGAATGCTGCTCACGTTTGATTGATGAATACCCGTCGAGTATACTTTCGTAAATACTATCCTCCATGAAGCATTGGAATGGTACGGCTCCGTTAAACCAGATTTACTGAAATTGGGTAGCTCATGCACTAAAGTTTATAGGTAAAAGCAGTTACCCGTATGGGATACTTAGCTTCACCACTGAAAATAGTGGATACTGC